CCATCTTTTATAAACTAAGAAAACAGGCAAAATGATTGGATGATGTTAAAAGCTGGGCTTGAATAGTGATGAGAAGAGACACCGGAGGGTGTCTGGGTTTCTGCTAATGTTCTGCTTCTTGATATGGGTACTGGTTACAGGGTGTGATCAGTTTGTGAAAAATCACAGAACTGTGTACTTACAATTTGGTATATATGTTATACTTTAATTTAAAATTTTTTACATAGCATCAATTGCTTTAAGAAAATATCAGGTGACTTCCCTGGTGCTCCAGTAGTTAAGATTTCACCTTCCAATGCAGTGGGTATGGGTTCAATCCCAGGTCAGGGAGCTAAGATTCCACATGCCTTACTGCCAAAACACCAAACCATAAAATAGAAGCGGTACTGTAAAAAATTCAATAAAATGGTCCACATCAAAAAAATCTTTAAAAAGAAAATAGCAAAGAAAGAAAGAAAGAAAAGAAAAGAAAATAGCAAGCACAGAGATCTTGAACTTATTTTCTCCTGATTAGTGAAGTTGGCTGGAGTGAAGAAGTAGGAAAGGTTCTTGACATTCAGGTTTTTAGTGCTCAGTTATTCATCATTTAATACATATTTATTTAAGAATGTGGTAAGGAACTAAAGGCAAAGAGAGGTCCTTGCTCTCACACGGAGTACAGTCCAGTTAGACGGGGAGGAGATAGATGTCAATCAAATAGTCACACAAATCGATTTGTAAGAGACAGAAAGGAGGGAGGAGGAACTATGGGGAAGTCCTCCTCTCTGAGACAAGAAGGGTGAGTAGATGAATAACTCAACTCTGGAGCACCAGGGAAGTCACTTGGTATTAGATGAAAAGATTGGCTGTTATGCGGTGTTTAAATGTTAGGCTTAATTGGACCACTAGAGGGCGACCACAGACAGGCATTTGCGGCAATTTCTAAACTGGTGGAGAACCGAGGCTGAAGTTCTCATAGCTTTTGTTCAACTCTCCGTGATAGTGTTAGGGAGCACAAATTATCTAACAGAAATTAATAATCAAGTGTCAATTTACATATGTCCATGTGGCCGTGTAGTCTTGCCTAACAATATAATACAGATTCCTACCAAGCGCCAAATCGCCTTAAAAAAAAAAAAAGTAAAAAATAAAAAAGGAATGGTTAAAAGAGCCACCCCCAAGTCACAGATATGCTATTACTATTGCTTATTCATTAGCACCCTGAAGTCTCTCACATCTGCAGCATCCCAGGCCCCCACAGAAAGTACGTCACTGTATGATATTACCTGTTTCTCATTGAGGCAGCTAATGAGCTGGTAGAATTTTATGTGTTGCCTTCAGAGAAACAAAGGCAAAATAAGCAACAATTCACCACATCCAGTTAAATGATCAAGGTTAAAACCAAGTCAGTACTAGTGTATTAATGAGTAGATCTCTTTAGCACCTAAGCATTCCAGTAAGCATTTAAGGCATGGCTCTCCCTCCCTTAAAACTAATTTCTAGTGCAATTGAAAAAAAAATTTTTTTTAATTGTTTAAAAATGAAAGCAAATCTCTCCTGGTGGCAGGTAAAGGCCTGTGTGGTCCAGACATTGCCCGTCTGCGGGACCCTTTTCTCTCCTTTCCTTACTTCCTCCTGGTCTCACTTGACTTGATTCCATGAAGTCAACAAACATTTCACATTTTCCATCACTTCTCTTTTGCATTTGCTGTTTCCTTTGCCTGAGATGTTCTGTTCTCATCATCACACAAGAAGCTTTTTGTTCTTCAAGTTCCAGCGAATTGTCACTTCCTAAAAAGACTTCCTAAACCATGCATTCGTGGCTGTCCTTCCCATAGAACCTCGACCTTTAGCAGGGCACTGTGATGCCCCCTATGCTTGTCCATGCTAGCAGCCAAATGTGGCCACACATCTGGTTAATGGCTGTAGGTGGAAACGTGTGAGACTTCCTAGAAGCCTCCTTAAGAGGAAGCAGAGGGACTTCTCTGCAGTCCAATGGTTAAGACTTCACTTCTAGTGATGGAATGTGGGTTCAGTCCCTGGTCAGGAAGCTGAGATCCCACATGTCTCATAGCCAAGAAACTACATCATAAAACAGAAACAATTTGTAACAAGTTCAGTAAGACTTAAAAAAAAAATCCATATAAAAAAATTTTTTAAAAAAATGAAGCAGAGAAGTCCTTCTTATTTTCCTCTCTCCTGCCGTCTAGAACACCAGTATAATAACTGCAGCTTCTGGAAGCATCTTGGACTCTGAGGCGGCAGTGATGATGGGAAGAAGGGCAGAGAGGAACCTGGAAAACTAATGATACTGTGGGATGGGCGTAGGGTAGGAAGTCCCAGCCTCTAGGTATCTTTTATATGAGATAGAAACAAACTGCTCCTTGTAGCTTTACAGATGCATGGCACCACACCTCAATACTAACAAACACACCACACCCGTCCCCAGACACACCACCCTATTGTCTTCAGGGCCCTTTTACTACCTGGAATAGCTCATTCATTTGTGTTTACATGAGAGCAGGGATCTGTTCTGTCTTGTTCATTGCAGTAACCCCAGCATCTGCTGTAGTATTTCTATTCCTTTCCAGAAATTCTTGGAATTTTGACATTTTTCTGAATTCTGAGAAAATAATTTGAGAAAACAGAGGAAAATATTATAATTCTTCCTGCAAGAAATAAAGATTAATGATCTGCATGGAGCTGTTACTGGTTTGAGGGAATCCACCAACATCAACAGCTAGTGATGGCGTGGTGGTCATGAAAAAAATCTGGGAAGCTTCCAGCAGTTGTGCTACTTCACTGTGCTGTAGCAGAGAGTTTTGCTCAAAGCCTCGAAGGGTGAAAGCCTCAAAAATAACCAGCAGAGGAAGCATACACAGTGCGGATTCTGAACGTGGGAAAGATGAGAGCAATGAGCTCAGATCCAGATGATGTGGTTGGGGCTAATCAGTATGATCTGCAAAATGATGTCCTCCTGACTGTTTTTAGAATCAGAAAAATTATAATACAGTTCACACTTTCTCCAGTGAAAAATTCTCATTTGCAACAAGAATGGGGGAAAAATACTTACAGGTTTTTTGAATGGCAAAGCACCTTGAAGCACACACAAAAAATAATAATTGAGAGATTTTTAAAGACCCCAAATGAGAAAAATGATTTTATGCCTACTGAAGTTGGGACACTTGTTTTCTTTTTTTTTTTTCATTTATTTTTATTAGTTGGAGGCTAATTACTTTACATCATTGGAGTAGTTTTTGTCATACATTGAAATGAATTAGCCATGGATTTACATGTATTCCCCATCCCGGTCCCCCGGGACACTTGTTTTCAAAGAGGAATATTATGAAATTGTGAGAGGAATATTAAATTGCTTGAAACTGGCTTGATTAGCAGCTGAAAAAGTAAGTAACCACGATGCAATTCTTTTAAGCAAAAACAGAATTCTGATTAAAAAAAATTAGAATCAAATTGCTTAACGTAGGAAAAAAGATCTAATATCCCTCATTAAACATTTAAGCAATGTTAGTAGTTTATATGAGATGGACAACTTCTTTGCTTTGGCAAACAAGAACAAAATCACTTAGTTAGCAAAATCATTACTGGAAAGATTCTTATGAAGCAAAATATGCCTTATCAGAAGAAATGTGGAGAAGAGTAAATGTTTTGGTAGACTATCCATCATGAAATCTGAAACTGGTCTAAAAATCTGAATTAGCAAAAATAATATAAACTTTAAGAATGAAATCAAAATCAGAGAAATACAATATTTTAATCATTTTTAAAAGGGATACAGTAGAAACTACCACAACATTGTAAAGCAACTATACTCCAATAAAAATTAATTTTAGAAAGGGAATGAATTTATAATAAACTACATGTATCTTAACAATCAGCTTGAAGACACCTATAGACATACTCTCAACAATTCAACTATCAACACAAAATTAAAGAACAAGGCTTTCCCTGATGATCTAGTGGCTCAGACGGCACTCCCAATGCAGGGGGCCATGGTTTGATCCCTCGTCAGGGAAGTAGATTCCACGTGCTGCAACTGTAACTCCACCCAGGCAAATAAAATGATTAATTAAAAAACTAGATATCAGAATGAAAGAATATTCAGTATCTGAAATATTTGTCATAAAACAACACAAAAATTAAGACAATCAAAGCAATTCATGCTTTGTGTGCTGTTAAAAGTTCATTTTAAGCATGATAACTTTTTTTTTTTATGCAGCATTTTATTTTTTTTTTAAATTACCTTCATGAAATACATTTTCACATTAGAAATTCCCAGTGGGAAAACAGCAACTTATCACTAATAATTTTATTTTTGTGGACAGATTATTTTAGGACAAGGAAAATAAACACATTTGAGGATTAAGTCTTTGTTTAGAATCTGTAACAATTTGAAATATCTATAAAGGGAACTCTTCCCTAAATGGAAATTCTCTACATTCAGAAACTCTCCAGGCTCTTCTTCCTAGGATTAAAAATCAGTAATGTGAAATATCAGCATTTCTAATTTTCAAATTTCCCTAAGACATGTAACCCTCAGTAACTGGTATCAACTGAACAGAGGGGGAGGTTTACAGAAACTAAACACTGCCTAATTTTCTGCAGTCTTTACTTATGAATTAAGTCTTTCCCTTTCTCCATCATCCTAGGACAAATATAGACGTTTGATCAGATATCCAGAGTAATAAAGCTGAATTCCCTTTAAGAGTTTGATAAATTAAAAGGCAAAAAGCTCATATATATAGTTCAGTTATACTATGAGGCTTGTGAAAAGCTGAGACACTCCATTAGCTCCCCAGAATACAGAATTCAGTCTTATAATTTCTTAAGATACAACTTCTCTCAAATCTTTCTTCAAAGATTAAATTCTAAAAACAATCAGGTGATTAGGAGAAGAGGTTTGTCTCACCAATGTCTTTCCTTCTTATTGTGAGTTGAAATGGCATGACAGAGCAGAGGCAAGGAGATGTACAATCAATTCTCAAGGTATTAAGTCTAAAAGGTCAGAGTTTCCACAACATAGCCACAGCTTTGCAGATGCCCACGTCATGATAGTTGAAGTAACAGAGCCCAGCAAAGGTGAAAGCCGAGAGCACCAAAAGGCCTGTCTTGGCAGCTTTCTGCACTGCATCCCCGTGAGCATAGTAACAACTTGTCCAATGCCCCAGTGACTGTGAAGAGTGAGGGTTGCAGCCAGAGAGTAGCCCATCGCAGAACAAGGATTCAAATAAGCAGCTGGAATTAGGCCCGGGAGCAAAACACTGACAAGCCTCTCACCAGTCCAGTGGAGAGATGCAGCCTTGGAACCAGCATGGTGGCTGGGTGACAGGTGAATATGCTGTGTTCCACACCATCCTTGGGCAGGTCGGTCCTGGAGAAATGTTGAGACAAGAGCTGGTCTGACCACTGGGGTTCGGAGGAACAGAGCTCGCCCTTCTCTGGCGCCGCAAAGTAGCATGATAACTTTTAACAGAAACAGACACACAGACATAGAAAACAAACTTACAGTTATAAAAGAGAAAAGGCGATGGGGGAGCGATAAATTAGGAGTTTGGAATTAGCAGATACACAATACTGTATATAAAATAGATAAACAATATGGTCCTACTGTATAACACAGGGAAAATTATATTCAATATCTTATTATAAACCATAATGGAAAAGAATATGAAAAAGGATGTATATATGTATAATTGAATCATTTTCTGTACACCACAAACTAACACAATATTGTAAATCAACTATACTTCAATTTAAAAAAGAATGATAACTTTTAAAATTTAAATGTTCATGGTATTATTTTTAAAATTTTAAAACCACTGTATTTGGCACTTGTTGGTCTTTTAATGTTTTCTATCATCAAATATGGATACCAGGTAGAGATCATTTTTACATGTCGCTGAAATTGTCAACCTAAAACAAATAGACTACAGTTATATCTCCAGCAAAAATGAGTTTATTTGAAATCAGTAAAGGATTAAAATTCAGGGTCTGCAACTAGGGTGCATGCACCTGCTGCTGCTGCTAAGTCACCTCAGTCGTGATCGACTCTGTGCGACCCCATAGACAGCAGCCCACCAGGCTCCGCCATCCCTGGCATTCTCCAGGCAAGAGCACTGGAGTGGGTTGCCATTTCCTTCTCCAAGGTGCATGCACCAGTCCCCAGCAAAAGTGGAGAGGAGAACTGTTTTAAAGAGGGAAAAGGAAGTTGGAGGTGGGGCGGGGCAGGGGAAGGTGGTAAACAAAGAGTCCATTGGAGGAATTGAGAGCTTGAAGTCTGGTGGGTTTTCATTGGCCAAGTTGTGAGTCTCATTGGCAGAGCTCTTGCCAGGAAAGAAAGAGAAGTCTTTCTTCCCCTTGTTGGGCTCAGCTATCATCTAGTGCGTGACAGCTCTCCCTTCTGGTCTCTTGACTCTATTTTAATTGAGGTTTCTGCTTATTATTATTATTATTTTTTTACAAAAGGTAGTATAATCCTGCATCAGTATATCTTTCCATAATAATAAACTGTTCATTTACTACTCCTTTTTTGATTTTTGCAGAAAACCTTGGAAACCTTTTAGCATAACCTTGTCACAGAAAAATGGTTCACCATTTACTGTTAATGGTCAGTTGCTATTTAAAAACATATAAAGAAGGACTTTCCTGGTGGTCCAGTGGTTAAGCATCTGCCTACCAGTGGAGGGGACATGGGTACTACTGGGAGGGTCCCACACACTGTGGATCAACTAAGCCCTTGCACCACACCTACAGAACCCAGCACCCTAGATGCACCCACACCTACAGAACCCAGCACCCTGGAGTCTGTGCTCCACAAAAGAAGCCACTGCAGTGAGAAGCCCATGCCCCACAACTAGAGATTGGCCGCACAACTAGAGAAATGAAGATCCGGCATAGCCAAAACAAATCATTTTTTTTAATGTTAAGAAAGGTATTATAGAAAAAAATAATAGAATAACTTATGATTCTGAGAATTTCTAAGAACTTCTGAGAATCCCAATTTCTTGCTCCAGAATCTTGACAATTGGTGTCTATCAGGAATTTGCCCAAGCCTAGTACAGTGCCTGGCCTAGAGCAGACACACTCAGCATATATTTTAAAGGAAACGAATGTGACTTTGTTCCATAGCCCCTGCCATCCTGTGAGGTAGAATGTGCCCATTTAAAGTAGAAATCCCGGACCTCCTTTGAGGCTGGTGTGGGACAACACCCTGAGATTCCTGGGAGCTCTGGTGTTTACTGAGATGGTCTGTGAGACATAGTCTTAAGGTTCTTAGAAGTACTCCCAGGCCTGCCCTGAAGTTTTCTGATAGAGTATCTTATAGCCACACTCTGGATTTGAGCTTAGCCCTGAAGCCATTTCTTCTTTAAGAATCTCTTAATGGGAGTGACTGGGGATGACTGACGGTTTTATTTGAGAACCAAGTAAATCTTTATTTCTTTGTGTTTTCTCCCAATTCTGCCAAAAACGTGCATGATTTCTTCATTAGAAACATTAGAATTGGATCATCTCTCCCATTTTGTGTGTACATACTTGGCTTAGTTGCAGCACCAGGATCTTCAATCTTCGTTGCTTCATGCAGGATCTTTTTTTTTTTTTTTTCGTAGTTGCAGCAAGTGGAATCTTTACTTGCAGCCTGAGAACTCTTAGTTGCAGTGTATGGGACCTGGTTTCCAGAACAAGGCCTGAACCTTGGCCCCCTGCATTGGGAGCGCAGAGTCTTAGCCCCTGGACCACCCTCCCATCTTATACGTTATCATGGGACCTAGGGAAAGGAGCTTGGCACTTTCGTTGAGCTTCCTCTTTTTTTTAGGGGGGGTGTGGTGGGGGGATGTGGGTGGGCAAGAATACCATTCCCTTACCCAGGAGATATTCCTGAGCCAGGGATCGAACCCAGAACTCCCGCACTGTTGGTGGAAAGCTTTACTGCCTGAGCTACCAGGGAAGTCTAAGCTTGGCACTTTCTACATTCCGCTTGGACATCTCCCCAGCTGACCCCATGAGGTAATTAAGCAGCCTTTCTAATTTTCAGTTTCCATAGGTGACAGTGTTGCTAGACTTTCTGCCACTACATAAGAGGGGTCCTCTGTTTTCCAGCATCCGCATCCTTCACCCCCTCACCGACTGCCTTCATGCCCTTTTTGGCTTCTTCCTGCCACCCTGTCCCAAAGCCAGTATCATATGGTTTAGGTATTTGTTAGGGTAGCATCCCATTTCCAAGGACAAAATTCTGTTCAAGTTATCTATTGCTGCACAATAAACCTAGTGGTTGAATAAATTACTTACTATTACTATATTTGGACACAGCACACCAAGGACAGCCCATTTCTGCTCCAGAATGCCTGGGGCGTCACCTGTAGTGAGTTGAATATCTGGAAGGCTAGAACAGTTGGAAGCTGGCTGGCATCTCTTTTTCCTCTCTTGATCCCCTTCTCCCTCTCCAGGGCATTTCTTTGTGTGGCTAGCTTAGGCTTCCTTATTTGATGGCAGCCTCTGGATTGTCAGTCTTCTTACATGGCAGCTCAGGGCTCCAGTCGCTGTCCCAAGAGACATGAATGGAAGTTGCTAGTCTCTTAAGGGCAAGTCTGGGAACTGTCATTTTCACAACACTCCACTGATCAAAGCAGTCAGAACTCACCCAAAATCAAGGGAAAGCAACATAGATCCCATACTTCAGTGAAAGTAGCATCAAAAATCTCTTGTTACCTCCCATCTGCCACATTTTTTTATTCCTAGGGTGAAAATAATATAGGTAAAAACCTCATGATAACAGAAATTCAGGTATAACTTCACTCCTGCCCAGGCCATATTCTTAAAAGGAAATGGCCTTAGGGATTTCCCTGGCTGTCCAGTGGTTAAGACTTCACCTTCCAATGCAGGGCGTATGGGTTTGATCCCTGCTTGGAGAGATCCCACATGCCTGGCAGTGGCCAAAAGCCCAAAACATAACACAAAAACAATATTGTAACAAATTCAGTAAAGACTTTTAAAAAAGATGATCCATCTAAAAAATAAACCTTGGGGAAAAATAAAGGTGGGGAGTGGCTTCAGATTCTTAGTTTCTTGGTGGTTTGTACTGTGATCATTTGAGACCCTTCCCAAATGTGTGCTTGTAATAATGAAATAATGGGTGTTCTGAACATTCCCCATTCATCTCTCCAGATGACATCTTCACCTTTCTTCACCTGCTCTGTGTCCCAGGAGGCTCCTGGTTGAGTCCAGCCGTGAGGTGACGCCAGCAGGAGATCCATGGCTGGAGTAGGGACTGGTGAATGAAGGCACGGCGTTTGTTCTCTGGCTCCCTCCCCACTGAGTCATTGTGGTTTGGTCCTGGGGCGCCCTACGCAGCCTCTTCCTTTCAGCCGTCCCAGGGTAGCAACAGCTTCCTGGCTCTTGCTAGCTCCAGGGTTCTGCACCGTTTGGTTTTTGCTCCTTTCACCCTGATTCTTCTCGATTATTCTACTTGGGTCTTCTCTTTGCTTGTGGAGACTGAATACAGATGGTCTATTCCTTATAAAACTAATAAATTAAAACTCCCCCTTTTTCTTAAAAGAATTGTATCGGTGTATTTTTCCATTTTCTTATCAGGTTTTGGGTCCATGTCCCTCATTTTTAGAGTTCTTCTGTGTTAACCTAGAGGGGTGGGATGGGGAGGGAGATGGGGGGGAGGTTCAAGAGGAAGGGGACATATGCACACCTATGGCTGACTCATGTTGATGTTTGACAGAAAACAACAAAATTCTGTAAAGCAATTATCCTTTGATTAAACAATAAATAAATTTTAAAAAGAATATTAGCCCATTATCTGTAATACATCTTACAAATATTTTCTCCCAATTTGTTAGCTGTTTATTTTAGCCATTGTTGTTGTTCAGTCACTAAGTCATATCTGACTCATTGCAACCCCATGGACTGCAGCACTCCAGGCTTCCCTGTCCTTCACTATCTCCTGGAATTTGCTCAAACTCATGTCCATTGATTGAGTCGGTGATGCCATCCAACCATCTCATCCTCTGTTTTCCCCTTCTCCTCCCTCAATCTTTCCCAGCATCTGGGTCTTTTGCAGTTGAATCAGCTCTTCACATCAGGTGGCCAAAGTTTTGGAGCTTCAGCTTCAGCATCAGTCCTTCCAATGAATATTCAGGGTTGATTTCTTTTAGAATTGACTGGTTTGGCTGGTTTTAGCCATCTAGAAACAAAAATTTTAATGTTCCATGTAGTCAAATATACCTAAATGTATTTTTTCATTGCTTTTAGATTTTGAGTCTTTTCCCATACCAAAGCTGAAGAATTCATTGCTATTGTCTTCTGGTAGTTGTATGATTTAGTATTTTACATTTAGATCTCTGATCACTTTGAATTGATTTTTGACTCTGGTGTGAGGTATGGGTTTAATTTTATCTTTTTCCAAATAGTCCCAGCACCATTTATTTAAAAATCTGATCCCTTCAAAATAGGTATTTTTGTTTAGAATGTGTATACACACACACA